GTCTCGCCCCTTTGATGATGATGGCTACATTGGCTACGATCCTCGCCTTCCGTCTTAGCGATTCGACTCGTTCTCCAACTTCGATGTTGGCTCAATCAAGGACTCGGTCTGTGACTCGCCGCCAATATTCAGCAGTCAATCATACAGCTCTGGAGATGACATGTTTGTATCTCAGCCACTTCTCGAGACCTTGTCGCCGCCACCAATCGGTGGCGATGGTGGTGGATTCTCGGAATTCTCAACTGAGGAGAATGGAAACATCTCGACGATAGTGTTCTGGTAACCAAAAGTAGTGAAAAAAAAAAAGCCTTTTGACATGGGCATTACCTGTGTTTCTTTGAGGGATTTCTTTGCGTTTTTAATAAATGCAAGAGAAAATAAGTTTATACCAGTATTTGCATTAGATGTAAGTATTATATTTACTGGCATTATCGATGCCATGTGGCGTTTGTGTAAATGCTGGCAATGTTTTTACTTGTATTTAAAAATACAGGTAAATTTTAAACAAATGCAAGAAATCAATCTTTTTCTTATAGTGCCTAGACAAACAACTAGGTCCTACTCATATTTCCAAACAATATGAGTTTTAGGCATAATACATCATATCAATTATTTCAACACTTTTAAAACATTACATTTTTTTTTAGATAGAATATTGACATTTTTTTAATTTGTTGACATTTCTGAAAAAAACCTAGGTCACGTAATGCCTAGGTACTAGGCAATGGTCAACATCCATAATCGTCTATCAATTTTTATAATATTGAATAACAAGTAAAGAAATTTATACTAATTGTATGAGTAAGCACTTACAATTTGAATGATTGAAATCATAAATTATATATATATATATTTTCTGGAAAGATAAGCTTAGACTAAAAAAGAGATAAAAGAAGTACAATACAACTTTACCCTTTCAAAAGAAGCAATCTAATATCTAGATGCTTGATTGAGTATTTTGTAAAACATTTTAAGACTTGTTTGCATAAGAAGAAAGATTCAGGACTCAATTAGAGAAAAATACACTTGCAGGCTACAAATATATTTATATTTCTTACAGCTTTCTTCATTAGTTTTTCATATCGGTTGTAGACTAATAGAATATAATTAGCATTGAAGAGATGTTTTTGCTCTTGTTTTTGGAGAGAAATTTGGTGCACAGCAGAAACAAGAATTCAGTAATCAAAGTGTAGAAAATAAAGTAAATACATAATATATGTGGTTCACTACTACAATACATAACTACATTCATGAGCAAAAAAGAGTATCAAATCCACTATGAAATCAAGTAAGTACAAAAGATTTGAATAGTATAAATCACTCAACTGAATTCTGGTAAGAATCCTTTATACACCCAAATTCTTTCTTTTTGAGAAAACCCCTTAAATCCTGAAGGACAACATTGTTTCTCTTATGGTGGCTAATGGTGTCTAAGTGTATTACTCTCACTTCTTAACCCTCAAGAAAGCTCCTTCATGAATGGTCCACTCCGACTCAGTGGTATTGGACCCTGGATTAGGGCTGTTCACCTCCGGTGAGTTACACATTCGAGCCCCACAAAAACCCTTTCCCTCCTCTTCTAATTAACCTGCAAATAATTATAAATTGATAAAAAAAAAAAAAAAAAAAAAAAAGAAGAAAGAAAGCTCCTTCATATTTAGATATAGAGTACAAAAGGATACTTTGGTAATTTTATGGGAAGACTAAAACGCACCGCATCATTAAAGTATTCTGGTGTCCAAGCCCCGGAACTTATAGAAAATGATCTGGAACATTGTTCCTCTCTAGCTAACCTTTTGCTGTTCGTGACGAACTCTTGAAGTTGCGGAACTTTTGTTGATAGTTCTGGAACTTTTGAAGCTTGGATTCTTTGGTATGCTTCCAGGTTTAGGAACCTCCATGGCTGGTTCATAACCTTGCTGCCAACTTCCAAAACTCGAAGAACACTTCAACCTTTCATTATTTCAAGGCATACCTCATAATTTTTCTTTTCCTTTTTGTGGTCATCTAATTTTAAATACTTCCTTAATTTTATTATTTTATTTGGATGTATGTAGGATTATTTAAATTCTTTTTTTACTTTGATGGGTTAAATTTATTTCTTTTGTTATGTTTTGAATTTATATATGATTAGCATTTATTCGTCTTCTCTATAAAAAAATTTAAAAAATATTCTAAAATCACATTATTTTCATAAAATACTTTTAAAAAAACTAAAAATAATTTAATTCATGCCTATACATATTTCCCATAAATGTAAATTCATTTAAGTTAACAAATACATTCCCATATCTTATTCACATAGACATAGATTCTTATTTGTCTTAAAATGAATTATTCATATATATATATATATATATATATATATATGTGTGTGTGTGAAGAGTGCATATTAATTCAAACTCTCAAAATAAATTGAAATCCTAATTTTAAACTACTTTAATTTTCTTAAAGAGTTAGAATTAATAGGTACTAACCTATACATATATTCACCTTAAGTTAACAAATTTTTAGGTTAAGGAGGCTCTGAACTTAAAACTACGGTACACAAGAAAAAAACAAGGTAAAAACAGCATGAATCTCTTCAAAAGCTTATGTTGTGAGCTTGGAGCTCCGAAGTACATCATGTTAGTTATGTTTAACAGAGAGAAAACAAGAAATGGATGCAGCAAAAACACACACCATGCATGTAACAACTCACGCTCAAACAATGTACTTCCACCTTTTATACTTCCCCTAATAGCCCAAATTTCTTCACAAAAATTCAAAGACTAGAACAAAACCATGGCATTTCCCTGCACTACTCTTCCCCGCACTTCCATCTCCTCTCTGCTGGCAATGCTTCTGCTTGTTGCTTCTCTTCTGCCTGCAGCCTTTGCCCAAGATCCTCCCACTCCAGGCCCATTCATAGCCGACTGCAGCACCCACCTCCTAGCACTCATGCCATGTGGTCCATTTGTCCAAGGGACAGCCAAGAAGCCAGTAGAGTCGTGCTGCAACAGCCTCAACCAGCTCTTCAGCCTGCAGCCTGGTTGCCTCTGTCTCCTGCTCAACAACACAACCTTGAGCACAATTCCACTGAACAGGACACTTGCTTTGCAGCTACCTGCTCTTTGCAAACTCCAAGCCAACATCTCTTCTTGCTCAGGTAGCGTAAAATTTCTAATAAATTGGTTTTTTGCATTATGTTGTTTTCTTATCTATGATTATGTACTTAGTTGTTTTTGGTTTGAAGGCGAATCTCTGCCTCCCAGTTCATCATCTGGTTCTCAAGTTTCCCTTGGGACAACAAACAACTCCACTGTTGCTTGTAAGAAAATATTGCTGGAACGTATATCCTTCTTAAGTACCCAGCAAATTACATCTATCTGAATTCCTCTGTCTTGCTCATTTTCTGATGCTCTGCTTTGGGATTTCAGCTACTGCCGTGCCATCCTCTTTTGTTCCACCAGCAACAAGTCCCACTAATGTCCTCGGGTCAGGGGCTCACAGAAACACTGTTGCAAAGCAGAAAGCAACAGGCCATTTAACGACTGTGGCTGTTGTAGCAATTCTGCTCAGGAAGTTGATCTATTGAGTCTATTCACTGCTATATTATGCTTATTCCTAAGTTTGTCTATGCTATATTTCCAAATTTACAGTATTTAGAATTAGGGTCTGTTGACGGTGTTTATCATTCAGTAAATTGATTTTAACTGGTATAGTAACATGTAATCCTTAGGTAACTTCTTGTTGATTGAATTGGAACAATATATCTACTTATATGTTGCCTCTGAATAAATATGGGCATTTCTTCTATCAAACAATATATCTAGCTGCTGCTCTACAAGATTTTTAAAACATTCTCTACAATTCTATTTCATGTATCCAGCATTTTGATTTTTTCAAGTTGAAAACTGCTTAAAAAGCTCATATTCTTAGAACCTCAAAGCACACGTACATGAAAACGCCTGCGATTAGTATACAGATATCTCAACTATGCTTTTACTTAATGCAGACAACTAAAAATTGTACAGACACATTACAGAGAGATATTACATACAGTACCTCACAAATCAAAGACAATACCTTCAATTTGATTGAGATTTGCCTGAAAGCACACATTGTCCCAAATGTATTGACCTTTTCTTAGATTCAACTATTCTAGACTCGGAGCAACTTCTATCGGATTCGATTCAAAGACGTCTGAATTAGATGCCTCAGGTTCTTCTAATAACTCTCGATATTGGATAGACTCTTTATATGCCGGTGTCTCCTTAAAATCGGTTGCCCCTTCGTCATATGTAGCCACAGCAATCCCACATGCAATTAACTGTGTTATTCAATGCAAGAGATTAGACTTATTACCATCAATCATCAAAAAATTGCATTTCAAGTTGCAAATCTACATAAAAAGGAGGCATGAAACATGTATATTTGTCTATTCCCGCGCTTTATAATCTATCTTAATCATTAAAAATAGAGCTTTCTAGCCATCGCAAGCCTGTCAAGCACACTCGTAAAGATGGCTTAGCATCTCAACTGCAAGCCTTTTTTTTTAGTTTGCCTCTCCCACTTTCTGTCGCCTAAAGCTCCTAAATTTTCCAGCGAAGATATTAACACATTCCCGAAGGTCGTTTCAACAAAATAATTGTCTTAAAAATGTGTTAACAATAAATTCCAAAGTTGAAACCATATCAAAGAGGCATTTCTAAATTCTAAAAAATGTGGATACCAACTCAGTTAAGCTCTTGTTGGAATGTTTTTGTTTCCCGATCATGAAGTATATCCCAGTATGCAATTTAGATTTTGAAATAATTTCTGTTCAAGGGTTCACCAACCAAATTTTAACTACAGAATTTTCAAGAAATTGCATAACATCTCTACATGTATGGACAATTTTGAGTTACGAAATTTTGTAGAAGCTGAATTCTTGCGTCTATGATTCAAGCCACAGGAAATAAACCATGTTGAATAAACAATAACTAAGAAAAAATTAAGTACCGCGAAAACAATGCCAAAAGCCCACAGATACTGCACAAAAAAGCCGAGAACGTCCCATTGTGGACCCTCCCAGAAATCTGGCTGAAGACCCGGCAGCTCAGGCAAAGCAGACCCATCAGCAGCAGAGGCACTTCAATCAAAATTTACACCGAGAGCAACATTTTCAATCTTCGAACTGTCTCTGACTTCGGGCGTCCGTTGGTCTTGATTTTGATCGTCTTCTTGTTCTTTGGTAGTGAGGCGCTCCTCCGGTTCTTGCTGTCGAACGTCCTGTTCGGAAATTGAACTTTTAGCGGAAGTTACGTGGAGCGTTATGGGGGAGGAGTGGAAGAGGGCGTGACGGCGGAGCGGGAGGCAAGGCCGGAATGGCCCGGCGTTA